GGAATCACCATGATGAGTTCAAATGTTTTAAAATAACTTTGAGCTGCATGGCAAAGAACAAAAGGAGTATGGAAAAGACCAGAAGAAAAAAAAATCAAGGGGGAAATAGTGAGGGCCAGGATTAAGGCAGTAATAGCAGTAAAGGCAAGGTAGGAACAGAATTTTTAAAAAATATGCTGAAAATAGACTGAATAGGATGTGATATCTGACTGTAGGAATAGTGATAAAGGAGAGAGAATGAAAAATAACTTGAAGTTTTGTAGCTGTGCTGATAGATAAATATGGTTCTCTTAATAGAAACAAGAAACTAAAACCAAAAAATCAAGTATGAGGGAGACAATGTGTTCATATTTGGAAATGTTGAGCCACATTCAGGGGTAAGGTTCAATGTGCCAATAACAATTGGTATTCTAAAAGGGCAGTAAACTTTCTAGATTTCTTTTTTTTTTTTTTTGAGATGGAGTTTCGCTCTTGTTGCTGAGGCTGGAGTGCAATGGCACAATCCCAGCTCACTGCAACCTCCGCCTACCAGGTTCAAATGAGTCTCCTGCCTCAGCCTCCCAGGCAGCTCGGATTACAGGTATGTGCCACCATGCCTAGATAATTTTGTATTTTTAGTAGAGACAGAGTTTTTCCATGTTGGTCAGGCTGGTCTCGAATTTCCAACCTCAGGTGATCTGCCTACCTTGGCCTCCCAATGTGCTGGGATTATAGGCATGGGCCACCATGCCCAGCCAAACTTCTAGATTTAAAGAAGATCAAGGTTAGCAAAATCCTCCAACCACTTTTTTCTTTACTTATTCCTTCATTTTACCAAAATAAAATATGTGTTGAGAAGCCACTGCATGCCAAGTCCTGAAATAGCCATTAGAGGTGGGAAAAAGGAAAAGAGAAAAGAGAGTGAACAGAGCCCCTACTCTCAGAGCATTTGCACATTATGGTGGGTGATGACACCAAAGTGTTGGGATGAGGGGAGTGTTACCAAAGCAGTCTTCGTGGAAGAAGTGACATTTATTGGGAATAAGACAGTTCCTTTTCAAGCTCATTAATCAACCTAACACCTGCAGAGGGACTACATGCTTCTTGCTTGTTGCCTTCACAGTCTGTATGTCTGTGGTTCCAGGCCAGCTATAATGTAGATTCCCCCAACAAAACACGACCACAGACTTGACTCTACTGTGCTCATTTTCACTTTCTTTCTGTGGAAGTAAAGCTGTTACTTCTTTGTGGAAAAACTTTTGTTAATCTTCTAACTTTTAAAATATCTTGGTAACAAAGTATTTATGAACAAACTCTTAGAATTCTAGACAACATCATGGCAGAAGTGAAAGTTTAATTCACTTAAAATTATAAGATTATAGAAATCTTATAATTGCTCTGATATTGTCCATCTACCATCTGGGAGAAGGTGCTACTCCCAAAAAATACAGAGTGAAGTATCTTGGCAGAGAGAAGGGTACTTAAATTCAGGCCAGCCCATCAATTCCACTCCAAGATATTTACTCAAAAGAAATGAAAACATTAAGTCTGCAGAAAGACTAGTATAAGAATGTTCACAAGCCAGGTGCGGGGGCTCATGCCTATAATCCCAGCACTTTGGGAGGCCGAGACGGGTGAATCACAAGGTCAAGAGAGCGAGACCATCCTGGTCAACATGGTGAAACCCTGTCTCTACTAAAAATACAAAAATTGGTTGGGCATGGTGACGCGTGCCTATAGTCCCAGCTACTCGGGAGGCTGAGCCAGGAGAATTGCTTGAACCCAAGAGATGGAGGTTGCGGTGAGCCAAGATTGCACCACTGCACTCCAGCAACTGGGTAAAAAGAGCGAAACTCCATCTCAAAAAAAAAAATGTTCACAAAAGCTTTATACACAATAATCAAAAACTAGAAACCACCCACATGTCCATCAATTGCTGAAGGAATAAATGGTCATATATCCATACAATGAAATATTACTCGGGGATATAAAGAAAGAAACAACTAAATCAACAACATGGACGAATCTCAAAAGGATTATGCTGAGTAAAATAAGCCTGACAGAAAATGACTACAAATTATATTATTTCACTTATATATGAAATTAAAAAAAAAAAAGCAACACACTATAGCTCTAGAAAGGAGATTACTGGCTGCCAGCAGCAGGGTGGTAGAGCTGGAGATGGACTACAAAGGAGCTCAAGGGAAACTTTGGGGTGGTAGAAATATTATGTATTATAATTTTGATAGTGGTTACATCATATATTTTCCAAACTTATCAAACTGTACATTAGATTGGTTGATTTACTTTATATGTTATTCTTGAATTCAGCCAATTTTTAAAAATAAAAAGAATGAGTTAGGCTGAACTGACAAATAGGCCCAAGCTCTCCCAACCAGAAGATGTTAGTGACCCTCAGGAAGCTGTCAGAGCCAGCACTATCTCAGCCCTCTGGTTCTCAAGAACTCCTCAGCCTATATGCTTTGGCTTCAGATTCTGAGACTCCCTAGCTGCTACAGACTAAGGATCCCAATACCTCACTCTCACCCTGCCACCCACCTGCCCAAAACCTCAGGCCAGAATCATCCTGCCCACCCAGACAGTAATAGTATTATAATCCTAAACCCTTCAAGCCCTGGGCTAGCTACCTGATGATGACAAAACTTTATCCTGGAACTAATGACTGGGGAAAATGCCTGGTAAGGATTGTACTTTAAGGCGTCTAACTATTTAGCATCTTAAATACAGACTCTTGGCTCTTCTGTTATCAGTTTCCTAAAAGGACAAGGAGCTGGGCTTGTCTGTTTGAAACCACAGTTTCTCTACAGCTGTCTGACTCCCTGTGACTCTACTGAGTTGTTTTCTATCATCCCTGTGGCACAAGCCATGACTGATGCTCACATCCTTGAAGCAGGTGACTTGGGAAGAGGGAAAAGAGTCCTGAGTTTAAAATGAATCTTCACTGCAGTAGAGCCCTCAAGTCTGGGGGAAATCCTGAGTCCTGAGTCTCTCAGTCCTGAGTCTGGGAGAAGTCATGTGCAGAAGACTTGTTTCTCCATCACGGAACACCATCACTATTCACTCTTTCCTTCATCTCACTGATGCCATCAAACAAAATACAAAATTTTGAAATTTCTGAATAGCATTTTAAGTTCCATTTTTAGAATGTCAATTGCTAATGTATGAGATTTGTACCAGAAACCTTATAAAAAGTGTTTATTGCACACTTGATGCCATACAAAGTAAACTTACATTCACTGAGCTGTGATGTGCCAAACACTCGACAAAGCTATTTGATGTGCCTTACCTAATCTCATCCTCACAATAATTCTGTTAATTACTTGCATACCATCCCTTTATTTGCAGATAAATTCATAAGCTCTGGAAACTGCTCATAAACTGTGGTTTAATGCTTGGTTAAATATTCACAAGGTGCTGGGTTTGAATTCCTTCTTAGTGACCTACTAGACCTTGGGTAAATGAGTTTCCCTCTAGGTTTGTTTCCTCACCTATAAAATGAAGAAAATTGATGTGATTTAGATCTGCATCCCTGCCCAAATCTCATGTGGAATTGTAAACCCCAATGTTGGAGGTGAGGCCTGGTGAGAGGTGATTGGATCAAATAGGCTGTTTCTCATGAATGATTTAGCACCATCCACTTAGTGCTGTTCTAGTGTTAGTGAGTTCTCATGAAATCTGGTGGTTTAAAAGTATGTGGCACCTCCCCTCCCCTTCGCTCCTGCTCCTACCATGTAAGACACCTCACTCCCCCTTTGCCTTCTGCCATGATTGAAAGCTCCCTGAAGCCTTCTCAGAAGCAGATGTCACCATGCTTCCTGTACAGCCTGCAGAACTGTGAGCCAATTAAACCTCTTATAAATTACTCAGTCTTGGGTATTTCTTTATAGCAATGCAATAATAGACTAATACAGGAAATACATCACAATTCACTGAGCTTTGAAAGGATAAAATAGAAAACTGACACATAAGCACAATAAGTATTAATTATTGGTTTTATCTCAAATGCCAGGCTGACTTCAAATGGAATAAATACAACACACATGGACAAATACCACTCTCAACTGTTCCGAGGTTCAATTTCCACACCATGAATCCCATTCTGCCCTTCAATTAGTCTTGCCCTTCTTCAGTCAATGTGGTAAAATTTTTATTTTGTTACCTTTGGATTCAGAGGGTATATGAATGTATTGTGTGAGGCTAAGGTTTGGGCTTCAGTTGAACCCGTCGCCCAAATAGAGAACGTAGTACCCAATAAGTAGTTTTGTTAAACCTTGCTTCCCTCCTTCCCTCCCCCATTTTGGAGTCCCCATTGCCTATTCTTCCAATATTTATGCACACATGTACCCAATAATTAGCTCCCACTTGTAAGTGAGAATATGCTTTTGTTTTAATTCACTTAGGATAATGGCCTTCAGTTGCACCGATGTTGCTGCAAAGGACATGATTTCATTCATTTCTACAGCTATGTAGTATTTCATGGTATATATGTCCCGCATTTTCTTTATCCAGCCCATCATTGATAGGCACCTAGGTTGATTCCATGTCTTTACTATTGTGAATAATGCTGCAATAAACATGTGAGTTCAGGTATCACTTTGGTAGAACAATGAATGTACTTTCCTTTGGGTACATACACAGTAATGAGATGGCTGGGTCAAATGCTAATTCTATTTTCAGTTCTTTGAGAAATCTTCAAACTGCTTTCAACAGGGGTTGAACTAATTTATAGTCCCTCCAACAGCAGGTAAGTGTTCCTTTTTCTCCACAACCTCACCAACATCTGTTATTTTTTGACTTTTTAGTAACAGCCATTCTGACTGGTGTGAGATGGTATACATGGTAAAATTTTGATGAACAAAAATATATATAAAGCTTCTGCCTTCTATGAGTCTATGAGGACCATCTCTGTAGTTTCATGGTCTCAGTTTCCCAATCTCTAATAATTCAAATTAGACCAGAAAACTGTATTCTTAGACAGGCCAGCCATCTCCTTCACTTACCTGTTCTGGATATTTGCTCCCAGTGATCTCTGCTACAGTGTTGAAGGAATCAGCATCTGGGTAGGTCTTTTCCACCATCTTTAGCTGAATGACAATTTTGATCCCACGAGCAGCCATTCTTGACATCATTTCTGCATCTTCCACTGTAATACAGGCTGTTGGAATCTTGGGCACGCCATCCTGATATTCCTGAATACCTGTGTGAGGACTTGAGAGAAAAAGCCACCAGGTTGCCTTGAAAGTGGAAATAGATCAAAAGAGTTTTTAAAAAGCACCTGTATATTGACATTTGATTTCCACTCATCTTTCTTTGCATATGGGAATCAGGAAAGGTGGTAGTATTAATTTATTTGCTTTTGATGTGAATGTAATTTTTATTTTTTGTTAAGAATAAATTAGAAACTTCAATTTAATAATCATCTCATTGAAAACATACATAAATTATTTGATAATTTGGATGATCCTTCAAAGTTGCAAATTGCCACCAACTCTGAAGGACATTAGCAGTGCCATCATGATCAAAAGGTACAAGGAGACAAGGGAACTCTGGAGTTTGTCAAGGTTGCAGACTAGAAGATCCACATGTCTGGAATAAAACTGACCCAGACACATTTAGCTCTGTGGTCACTGCCTACCAGTGGGCCTACTCTCTTCCTACCCAAACACAGAGGTCTAAATATATAACTCTACATTGGTTGCAGAACACCACGCAGGAAAAGTGCAATGTCTGGGAATATATTCATATTCTCACGAAGAAAAGTTGCTGAATAAACACAGCCCCTTGATTTTACTGGCATAAGAGAAAAAAAACTATTATAACTTTGGCACTAAAGGAGAAATACTATCCCAACAGCAGATTTTTTCCTCCTAATTTCTAGATGCTTCTTACATTACTAGAAGCACTTACAATTGAAGCTAATATTAATCTCCTGTTGATTCAACCTCTGTATCTACTAATGAAATTTATCAAAGTCATTTTCTAAAATTGTTCTTTCAAACTGGTCCTTTTTACCCCTGAGATATGGCTCCAAACTGTCCTGCACCAGTGCTCTCAGGACCAAACTGCCACAACTTCCAAGTGTATGCCACAGTCCATTCCTATCTTCTGTTAAAGCATAGGCTAAGAACTTCCCTTTTGAAAACTGTTTTTTTCTTTTCATATTTCTGTATTTGCTTCAGGTCACATATTTACAGAACAACTTCCCTCCCCCTTTCACTCACAACACATTTCTCTCCTTCGGAGGATATCTTGGTGTTTATCTCCTACAGAAGCAACTCTAGTCTCCACATGCACAAACACAATGATGCAGTCTTATCTCTAACTACATTCTTGGTGTGACTGTATTATTGTAACCATATTTCAGGTGACTATTTACTTAGAGAAACTGCAAAGTAGAATGTTTAAAAACAGGTTTGGAGCAAGACTGCTTGGGTTCAAATCTGGACTTACTGCTAATTGGCCTAGGGCAAGTTACCCACATCTTTGTTTCAGGGACATCATCTATAAATGTAAGTGATAATAAGACCATTTCATAGAGTTATTTTTCAGAAATAATTAATTTATACAAGTAAATCACTTACCCTGAAACACAATAATCACTCAATGCATTTTAAATATTTATTTTATTAACTTGCCTAGTCAATTATCCCTGCAGAGACTGTCTAATCTCAAATGATTAGTACCAGCTGAGTATACGATCTATGAACATTTCTAAAAAGTGGACTGCAAATTTTATTATTCATCAAAAGAGAGTACAAAGACTTCTCTTCCAAATCCAGAATTTGAATCACAGAGACCCTGAATCTGAACCCTGGGATGCACAGAATCTACTCTAAATTCTGGTTCAGGTTCTGGGGTCACGTAACGTAGGTCAAATTCCAGCTCCTGCATTCTTTGCAACTAAGATTACCTCTTTGTTTCTAAATTCCCTCATTTGTAAAGTGGAGAATAATGTTAGCATTGACCTCATAATATTGCTATGATAAATAAAAGAGACAGTATACATAAAGGATTTAGACAGTGTTTGGCACATAGTAATTACTTAGTAAACATTAGTTGTTATTACTTCTTCAGTGCTAATTTTTCCCAGTGAGTTAGTGGAGTGATTAATGACCAAAAATTACCTTGCAACACGTAGGAAGACAATCTAAATATTTATTATTCATATTACCTTACGTGATGTCTGGGATTCAACAAACTCTCCTTGTTCTCAGACTCTTACTCAAGAGAAGGTCAGTATAACACTTCTTAACAGGCTCTTTTAAGTAATGTTTTAGACAGATTTGTACTTGTAGGTTACAGGTAAGATTTCTTGAAGTGGGGACAGTGAGATGGGCATGCATCCATAACTCAACTGATGAAATGGCACCAAAAGGCATCTTTTAATCTTAATTTATGAAAACTTTTAATTTGTTTTTGCAACTAAGCATGTCTTCCAGTGGTGGAGCATCTATCATTGTTTTATAGGAGGGAAAATGGAGACTCAGTTTTATTTAAAATCCTGTACTTTTACTGTAGTAAAATTATTCCAAAGGGACCAATCAGCATAAACACCACCTTTCTGTCGCTATTTACAAGCCCCATCTGCAGTTTAATAAAAGCAAAGAATAAACTACCAAGGAAGCCATACAAAAATCAAAATAATATCTAAACATTAATAACAATCCTCTACAAACTCTTCCAAAAAAATAGAAGAGGAGGGAACCCTTCCCAACTCATCCTACAAGGTCACCATTACTGTCATCAAAACCAGACAAAGATACCACAAGAAAACTACAGACCAAAAATCCCTTATAAACATAGATGCAAAAATTTCTCAACAAAATACCAGTAAACAAAACCAGCAACATATAAAAAGGATTATATACAAATGGGATTTATCCCAGGAATACAAAGTTGATTTAATATCCAAAAATCAATTGATGTAATATATCATATTAATATAATAAAGGTAGGTGCCACATGATTATCTCAGTAGATGCTGAAAAAGTATTTCACAAAATCTAACACATTTTTATGATAAAATCACTAATTAAACTAATGAAAGAGAACTTCCTCAATCAAATAAAAAGCATCTACAAATATCCCACAGCTAACATCACACATAATGGAGAAAGACTGAATGCTTTTCCCCTGAGATCAGGAATAAGACAAGCATGTTTGTCTCCCCACTCCTAATCAACATTTTACTGGAGATTCTAACCAGGGGAATGAAATAAGAAAAAAGAAATTTAAGAGAAATTTCTATACTGAAAAAGAAGAAGTAAAGTATCTCTTTTCACAGATGATATAATATTTTTCTTGATTAAGTAAATATTTTTAATAAAATCTTATTCTAATTCTTTAGTTTTGTATTAATGTATTTCTAATATCAAAGCTAAATTTCTAGAAAGAGTGACATGATCTTATACCTAGAAAATCCTAAGGTACAGACACACACACACACACACACCATACACACCTATTATAACTAATTAAGAAGTTTGTCAAGATTACTGGATAAAAGATCACTATACACAAACCAATTGTACAGCCGCAATAAACAATGCAAAAGCAAAACAATAGCAAAGAGTAATCTGAATATTAAATTAACTGAACAGTCCATGTAATTTATAATAAAAACTATAAAATTTATATTGTTATAATAATTAAAGATCTAAATAAATGAAAAGATGTCCATTGTCTATAAAGTAAAAGACTTAATATTGATACCATGGCAATACCTCCCAAGTTGATCTACAGATTTAATGTAATCTCTATCAAAATTCCAGCTGCTTTAAAAAAAAAAAGAAATTGACAAGCTGATTATAAAATTAATATGGAAAAGCATTCAAAATAACCAAAACAAGTTAGAAAAAATAGAACAAAGTTGAAGAACTCATACTTCCATATTTTAAAACTTACCATAAAACGGTAGTAATCAAGATAGCATGGTACTGGTATAAGAATAGATATATAAACCAATAGAGTAGAATTGAGAGTCCAGAGATAAACCCTTATAGGAATGGTCAATTTATTTTCAACAAAGATATCTAGAGAGTTGAATAGAAGAGTATTTTCAACAAATGTTTCTGGGCCAACCAGACATCCACATGCAAAAGAATAAAGTTACATCATGCCATATATAAAAATTATTTCAAAATGAATCATATTCTTATATGTAATAGCTAAAACTATAAAACTTCATGACTTTGGGAAAGAAAATTGTTTCTTAGAGACACCAAAATCACAAGAAACAAAATTAAAAAATAGATAAATTGAACCATCAAAATGTTAAAATTTTGTGCTTCAGAGGACACCATCGAAAAGTAAAAAGCCAACCCACAGAATGGGAGAAAACTTTGGCAAATCATATATCTGACAAGGTGCTTGTATCTAAGATATATGAAAATTTTTAACAATTCAATAATTTTAAAATCCAATTACAAAAATGGGCGAAGAATTTGAATAGACATTTCTCCAAAGAAGATATATAAATAGATTATGATAACATGAAAAGATGCTGAACATGATTAGCCATAAGGAAAATGCAAATCAAAATCTCAATGAGATGTCACTTTCCGTCTAGTAGGATGGCTATTATCAAAAAGAGATAAAAACAATCATTGGGGAGGATTTAGAAAAATTTGAATCATTGTACATTGCTGGTGGAAATGTGAAATGGTTTAATTACTCTAGAAAACAATTTGACAGTTCTTCAAAAAGTTAAACATGTACTTATCACATGGGCCAGCAATTCTACTCCTTGGTATATACTCAAGAGAAATGAAAATATATGCCCACAAGAGAAAAATTGCACTTAAATATTCATAGCAGCATTATTCTTAATAGTCAAAAGGTAGAAAAAAACCTTAATATCAACTGATAAATGTGCAAAAAAAGTACTATATCCATATAATGAAATACTACTCAGCAATACAAAATGACATTCTGATACATGCTACAACATGAACTTCGAAAACATTATTCTAAGTGAAAGAAGCTAGTCAAAAAAGACCATATATTGCAAGATTCCATTTACATGAAATGCCCAGAACAGGTATATCTATATAGAAACTAAATTAAATAAAATAAATTTTAGGTTTTAGATAGAAAGTAAATTTTAGGTTGCCCCGGGCTGGTGGAGGAGAGGGGAATATTAATAGATAAGAGGTTTCTTTTGGGAATGATGAAATGTCCTAAAATTAGACAGTGATGGTGGTTGCACA